AAAATTTTAAGAAATAAAAGTGGTCTACTAAAATAGTGGGAGCGGAAATGGGGTAGTAGGTGCAATCCAGTTGATAGTTTCCAGTTATATCAACTCAACCTCTGCTACTCAACGCCAAGTCTCACCTTCACGTGGTCCCTCCTGTTAAGCTGAGCAACCAAAGCCAAAGATCTGGTAACCAACCCAGGTGGAGTAACTTCGGTCAGTGAACTAACGAGACTGGCGGGTTAAGTTCAGGCTTAACTGAGAAGCGTCTGTTCCAATAATTGGCGGCTTCGAGCGGGCGTCTGACTTGCAGCAAGCGGCTCGCTATACAAATGTGATTGGGTACTGCCTTGTACGTATCATAAGGCTAGGAGAGCTACCTCCGAACTTAAAAGCACTTAGTAATGCAATGGAGAAAACTTATGGATATAATACCCCAGGTGGTAATCCCATTAATATGGTAAATCCACCCTCTTCGGAGGTCGGCCCCACGGATTCTGGGGGGGGCCAACTATTGCTGAACTATCATAACAACCAGGTAGAAATACAGAGAGGAATAGAGGTATCTGCAAAAGTACCATCTGAAATTGAAGTCTTACGGAAGAGACTCTTAGAGCTTGAACAAATTCTTAAAATCCAACAGAAGAACATTGATGATCTAAAATCAGAAAACCTGATTTTAAAAATGGCTCTTGAAAAGAACAGAGAAAATATTTCAAAAATTGTAATAACATCGGATTCAGGTAGCGGAGACCTCACGGGCTTTGAAACTGATGGGAATGCTATTATCTCGAAACCAAAGAGGAGAGTGAAAAAAAGAAAAGCAAAAAGTTCACCAGAAGTCGAAACAAATACCAGTGAGGCGAAACTACTCGGAGCAGATCAAGATGACGTTGACGTATTAGCCATTCATAATACAAATGTCCAGCAACAAATAAACACTCCAAATGGATCCCAAATCGACGTATCAGGAAAAACAGATGCAGGAGTTAAAACAAGTAGTATGAAAAACAAAGAGAATGCAGTTAAAAATACAGATAATATTACTGCTCGAAAACCACCTCCAATTAACGTTGTGGGGATTGATGACTATAACAAGATTAAAGAGTTAATTTCATCAATAACAAACACATTCAAAATAACTACTCTCAGAAATAACATCTGGAAAATCAACATCGAAAACTCTGACGACTACAGAGCCACAGCGAAGAAATTAAACAATGAAAAAATTGAATGGTTTACGTACGAAGACAAAAATGACAGACCTATTAAGGTAATGGCGAGAGGTCTCCATTGGTCTTGCGATAAAGAAGATGTTATAAACGATATCAAAAATCAAGGCCTTAATATTCTTGATGCTGTTAATATTTTAAAAAGTGAAAGGGTTATCAACGAAAAGGGTGAACATATATTGCGGAAACGAAAATTGCCACTATTTATGTTGACATTCGATAAAAAAGAAAAAATTGACAAAATATATAAAATAAGATCTATATTAAACCTGATAATTAAAATTGAACCTATTCGTAAGTCGAATAATACGATCCCTCAATGTAAAAGATGCCAGGGCTATAATCACACCAAAAGCTTTTGCAATAAAGAACCAAAATGTGTTAAGTGTGGCGAAAAACATTTTACAACAAATTGCAAATTAACGAAAGACTCCTCTCCAACATGTGCAAACTGCCAAGGAAATCACCCAGCCAATTATAGAGGATGCTTAATAGCAAAGGAATTGCAGAGAAAAAGAAATGAAGTGATAAAAACACAAAAAAAGGCAAATATTAGCAACGTGCCTCATTCACTGACACATCAGATTAAACCTAATAATAACTACAATTTAAATAATATGAATAATATGACTTATGCTCAAGCTGCAAGCAACAATAAAGTTAAGTCTAAAAATACAAACAATGACTCAAATAATATGAAATCAATTGAAGAGACACTAAAAATTATCATCAAAAAACTTGACGAGCAACAAATTGCTGAAAAACACTTATGTGACAGAATAAATAAGATTGAAAATAGTATAAACCTCAAATTAAATAAGAAATGGCCAACTCAATAAGAATTGCTACATGGAATGCAAACGGGCTACCCAATCACATTGAAAGCCTTAAAAGATTTTTAATCGAAGAAAAAATTGACATAGGATTAATATCTGAAACGCATTGTACAAACGAAACCCACATAAATATCGAGGGTTACAGTTGTTATCATGCCCCGCACCCGGAAAACAAAGCTAAGGGGGGTTCAGCTATTATTATAAAAAAAAACATTGGACACGATCCAGAACCCAAAATTGAAAAACCGGAAATGCAAATTTCAACAGTTAGAATAAAAACTAACAATAAAGAATTTAAAATCTCGGCTATATACTGTCCTCCTAAGTATAACTTAAAAAATAATGATTATAAAAACTTAATCGATCAATTAGGTCACAATTTCATAATTGGAGGAGACTTCAATGCAAAGAACACGTTCTGGGGCTCCAGGTTAACTACTCCGAAAGGTAAAGCACTCTATGAGGAGGCAATAAAGGCTAAATGCAGTTTTTTATCTAGTGGGAAACCGACATACTGGCCATCGGACCCAAAACGCAAGCCAGATTTAATTGATTTCTTCATGACCAAGGGTATATCAAACACATACACTCATGTTGATGAAAGCTTTGACTTATGTTCTGACCATACCCCTGTTATATTAACAGCAAGTGAATTTGTAATTACTAAAACTGAGCCAATAAAACTTTGTAACAAAACAACGAACTGGTGCAAATTTCGTGTAGACTTAAGTAATCGTACAGAACTTAACACACCTCTTAAAACCATACAACAACTGGAAGATGAAGCGTATAATTACATTACACAAGTGCAAGAAGCAGCTTGGGATAACACAACTTTCCAAAAATATAGTGATAAAGATACTATATATCCTCTGGAAGTAAAAAATCTTATAAAAGAAAAAAGAAAAGCCCGTAAGAGATGGCAAGTAACTCGTGCTCCGTCTGATAAACGAAAATTAAATCAGTTATGCAACAAGGTAAAAAAGCTACTATTAGAAGTCAAAAATGAAACCATAAAAAATAAATTAGCAAACTTAACAGCAGAAAAAAATACGGACTATTCTCTATGGAAAGTAACAAAAAATTTAAAGAATCCAACTCAACAAGCTTATCCTCTGAAAAAGCTAGATGGGTCCTGGGCAGTAACTGAATCAGAAAGAGCACAACTTTTTGCAGACTACTTAGAAGACATTTTCAAACCGCTACCTCGTCAAACATCGGAGGAAGTAGCTTGTCATCTAACCAATAATGATATGTCAACTATCAAAAAAATAAAACTTAAAGAACTGTGCCAGGAGATTTCAAAATTAAACAACAAGAAAGCTCCCGGTTTCGATCTGATTACTGCAATGGTGCTAAAAGAATTGCCTGTGATTGCATTGCGAAAACTCCTCTATATATATAATGCAGCAATACGCTTGAAACACTTTCCTGAAATTTGGAAGGTTGCTGAAATAATAATGATACCCAAGCCGGGAAAACCCCCAAACGAAGCAACATCGTACAGGCCTATCTCGCTTTTACCTATTTTATCCAAAATATTTGAGAGATTGATCCTGGAACGAATAATACCAATAATTAAAGTAAAACGTTTAATTCCAGATCACCAATTCGGATTTAGAGATGAACATTCGACAGTAGAGCAAATACATAGAATAACTGATGTCATAGAGGATGCCCTAGAAAGAAAGGAAGTATGTTCAGCAGTTTTCCTAGACGTTGCGCAAGCCTTTGATAAGGTGTGGCACAAGGGCTTGGTCTACAAACTCAATCAAGTTTTTCCAAAGCAAATCTGTGATCTACTAGAATCATATCTAACACGGAGAGTATTTAGAGTTAAGCAACAAAATGAATATTCTGTCTTAAAAGATATAAACGCAGGAGTACCACAGGGCAGTGTATTGGGTCCAGTACTCTATCTTTTATACACAAGGGATTTACCACAGTCAGATGAAGTAACAACGGCCACATTTGCAGACGATACTGCAATATTAGCTAGAGATAAATGCATAAAAGAAAGTACGGAAAAAGTTCAAAGGTCTCTAAATGAAATAAATCGTTGGATGAAAAAATGGCGAATCAAAATAAATGAAAATAAATCAGCACACATAAATTTTACCAACAGAACTATCAATCCCATCGAAATAAATTTAAATAATAAAGTGGTGCCGTTTGCAAATGAGGCAAAGTACTTGGGTATGACTCTAGACGTGAAACTACGTTGGAAGGAGCATATTAAAAAGAAAAAAGAAGAAATTAATATAAAGTTAAGGAAAATGCAATGGCTGATTGGTAAAAATTCTGAATTGAATATTTACAACAAATTATTGATTTATAAACAAATAATTAAGCCCATATGGACGTATGGAATTCAGCTTTGGGGATGCGCCAAAAAAACAAATATACAAATAATTCAAACTATCCAAAATAAGGTTCTTCGTAATATTGTGAATGCGCCTTGGTACGTGAGAAACGATACGATTCATAGAGATTTAAAAATTACTACAGTAGAAGAAGAAATCAAAAAGCAATCAACTAAACATAAATCTAAAGTACAGCAACATACTAATAGTGAGATAAATAAGCTACTTAGAAACAACACAGCCCGCCGCCTGCAAAGGAGGAGACCTCTTGATCAATTGTGATATGAGACTGAAAGAATACAACTAATAATACTGGACGGCTATCACTGGATAGTATGTCCCCACAACGCTACTTAAAAGTTAAAATAAAGTTGCTTGTTAGGTTGAATGGACTTAGTTGCAATAAATAGTAGATATAATAAAAAAAAAAAAAAAACTAAAATAGTAAAAATCCTAAATACAAAATGATTCAATTTAATTCTTTTAACTGCTAGCGTCATATTATTTTATTATAATATAAGAATGTCAAGTCAATTATCCACATAAAAAATAAAAAAAAGGAAACAAATAATATTAAGTGCAAACATACATACATATTATGTATGTATATTGTAAAAGCAATACACATACATAACGTTTTATTACAAATATAAATTCAGTAATTTAATTTCTATTTTAGATGTTAAATGCTATTTCCAATTATATCAATACAAATCGAAAATAGTGATGCGGCAACTTCTCTGCATTCTTCATTTGTGTCACCCCCTATCACTGGCGATCTTAAGCAAGATCCTAGCCAGCTTTTTAATTCCATGCATTCATTTAAGAATTCATCGATTAAAACATGCCGAGGTACAGTAATTAATAATGCACCGATCATTTCCAAAACAGCAATTCTTACTTTTGCCTCCTGACTAAAACGTAAAAATGATGTAATTTCGAATACTTCACGACAAATTTTATTTAGAGTTGGACAGTTTTCTGCAGCTAAGATAATGTTTGTTAAAGTGCTAAAATATGTAACAATTAATGTCATGTCTATGGCATATCCCGCTTTTTCATTCTTTAAATGCAGTATTTGAGTTTTCCGGGCTCCCCTTACCAACGGAAAAAAAAATGATCCAACATGCTTTGAAAATGTATTTTGAATTTCAATTTGCTTTGAAGGTTTTGAAAGCAAACGTCTAGTTTTTTTTCGTAATCTTTCATATATTATTTTTTTTGAATTATTTGCTTTATCAACCATTTTTGTTTCAAATTTTCTTGGATATGGCAAACTCTGATTTGAATTCGAGCAAAATATTTTTGGACTTGCGGTTGTTTCTTTTTCAATGCTGGATAACCGCTTAACAGATTTTGATATTATATTTAAAATTAATATGCGTACTGGAAGTGAATAATTGTTGTCATCTAAATGAAATTGTTCACATAAAAATTCTCCGCATTCTCCTGGATATATTGTACAAATTTGAACGCAGATATTAAGCTTTGTATTCTCAAACTCGTCAAAATAAAACTTCCTTTCCAAGCACAAAAATATACGCAGCAATTCAATTGCCAATTTTACATCATTATTGGGTAATTGCTGTTTTATAAGATTTTCTGCACATTGCAAACAAGCTTGAAAAACATCGGGATCATCAGCTTGCAAAATAATTTCTTTTAAATCAAGTAAAAATTTAGGCTTCTTATTTTCATGAACAGATTTATCGTTTGACATATCATACGGCTCTAAATCGTCATCAGAATCTAAGCCCGCATCGTAAAGATTTTCAATGATTTTTGAATTCTTACTACATTCTTTAGGAGAAACTTCTTTCTTGGAAAATATTTTTTCTTCTTTCTTGGAGTATCTTGAAAATTGCCTTACTGTAAAGTCATTATTGTCAAAAAATGATTTTACTAGTATTGAAAATTCTTCCACAGTTTTAATTTCACTATAATTATCGGTACTAACAATCGCAAATTTTTTTATGGAATCTATTATCTCTGTAAGCTCTGAATTTAAATTTTTGTAATCAAAATTTAATTTTGGCTCATTTATATTGTTGAGCATATTAATGCATATTTCTGCAGTAATCATTCCAACATATCGAAATACAATATCAGATGATTCCAAATGATTTTTTGTGCCATTAAACAATTTATTTTTTATTTCAAATATGAAACTTTCCTCAAGTCTTAAATCAATTAAACATTTTAAACTATAAATTAGCAATTTGCTTAAGAAAATATGCTGTTTAATATTATTATTTAACGTTGAAGTTTTTGTAGACCAAACGTTCAACGATCTCTTAAACAGTTCAAATAGTTTTTCTGGACAATTAGTTTGAAAATATGTCGTTAAATTTATAATACTGCTCTCTGAAACATTATACATTGAAAATGGAAATTTGGACAGCAAAAAATATTCCCAATGTGAAGAAATACTAATAGCATTAGAACCAAGCAATAAACTTAAATTAATATTTTGATCTAATATTTTATATCCGACAATATTGATTGCAACATTGCTTAAGTCTGTAAAAATATTGTTAATGAAAATTTTATACTGATTTTCAATAGTCGATAGATGCGCAAGGATCCTTAAAAATATGTTAAATTGATAAGTAACATCATTATTGAAGTGTACCACAATTTTACTCAATACAACAGCTATACGTTTTTCATCAAAAACGGGTTCCAATTGACACTCGTTACATTTAAAAGCTATACCAAGAGCATTTAAAATAGCTACTAAAATATTATAACCGTAAAAGTTAGAACAAAATATATTTGGAGTTTCAAGTCCAATTCTGTTTGCGACTCTACTGTGTATATTTAAAATTAACGTTAAAAACTGTTCACTCTTTTGTTCTGCTTTGTTCTTATCAAAACCTTGAATATTTGTTAAATCTTTCGTAGCATGTAAAATTCCCATAGTTATTATTTCTCCATTTTTAATCAAACATTCTAAAATATCTACAGCTAAAGTAGGCTTTATGTTTAAATTCTCTAATAATACTTCTAGAGAACTTATTATATAGTCTTCATTAAAGTTGATAGAAAAAATATTGTAAATTAAATTCATATTAAAAGTTTTATCATTTATAAGCAAAAGATCGTGAGTAAGATTCATCAAAGAATGTAAAACATTTTTGTATTCAGTTGAAGCAAACTCATTCCAATCACTTTCATATGAGCTTATGTCCATCCTGGTTAGCTGTTGAAATGTTATTTCTCCCGGTAGTACGTTCAAAAAACCTTTCAATAATGTTTCTAAATAGTTTAAATCCTTTTCAGTTTCCACTTTTTGTATTTTCTTTACTAATTGTGCAAAGTTCATGAAACATTTTATATTTCGAGCAGTTGGACGTTCGACTGAAAAATTAAAATAATTTTTCCGTTGGACATTTCTTTCTCTTTAATATTTTTCGTTTTGTTTATTTCTACTTAAAAAATTACATTTCTTTTTAAAAATAATTTATGAACTCTTTTGAACTGAACTGAAAAATTTATGAACTCATTGCAAACCTATTCTATTTGCAGATTAGCTAGTCAAAATTTAATTACAAATAGTTTAAATTTATCTTTCATCATTTAGAAATTGAGATAAATTGAATAAATCAAGCAAACACAACAACAATTGATTTGTTTTAAAATTCTTTAAAAATTTCGAAATTTTTTGATTTTCTGCTTACATCAAGCAATGAAAATTTTAAGATGATGAAATTAAAAAATTAACAATAACTTACCATTTGAAAACCCAGAGTTTATTGCTAAGGCACCAAATTCGTCCAACAAATTTGAATTTGAAGACTGATTACCAGGTAATGAAGGTGGATGTGTAGCAAAGCTTTCAAAAAGATCGATATTGTTTGCTTCTTTTGAAATATTTTCCATGTTTGAAGTTGTTATTAATAAATTATTGGACTGATTTGTTGGAATTGCTACGTCAGTTAATGAATGGTTACTTGAATCAAAAGCTGATTTGAAGTCTGCGAAGTCATCATTTTTGTCTGTAACTACATTTAAATTACTTGGAACCGTGCTTGCAACCACGTCCAGTTGAATTGATTTAGCAGAAGATCCTGTAGCATTAAAAGCACTTTCAAAATCTCCAAATTCTTGATTATCATCAGCACGAGGATTAAAATCATCAATTTCTTTAAGATCGTCAGTTCTAATTATAGAAGAATTATTTGTTTTTGGTGGGGGGCATGTTTCAAATAAATCTGCAATAATTTTATTCAAATTTGATATTACGAAATGCAAAAGTTGAAAAAAAATTACTTTCATCTGGTGAATCTCTATGTGTTGGTGAATGAATTCCAAATGAATCTTTTTCTTTACCATAATTAGCAGCAGCACCCAAATCAATCTTTTTAGTTACTACGGAAGTTTTGATAGTATTATTGCCAAACTTATTGGTTCCGGTTGATGATTTCAAATTTGTAATACTTATATTGGCATTTTGAGTTTTTTGTTGTTCGAAAGATGTTTGTTTTATTTCCGTTGGGCTGGAACGATCTCGGTATCTTCTAAAAATTACATATTTTCTCTGAATCAATACATTCTTCTTTTATAATCTAGGTTACCTCGGACTAGAAGCATCATTATCAGAATCATCTTTTTCCCTTTCATCTTCATAGCCTTCATCTTCATAGCGGTAGGAGGGATGAGAATCACTATCTGCGAACATAACAAAAATCAGGCATTAATCTTACAGTCGACAGTCCTCAGAGATCTTAACAAACTAAACCTATAAATAGGGAAAAGCAAGTTCTGTTCCTATACCTATTATCACATTATTGCATGTACATATTTCTATATTACTTTCCTAAAAAATAGAGTTTCTGAATATTGAGATATTCAGAAATCATAGGAATCATAGGAAGTATAGATAATGTAGAAATATAGATTTCTATAATATAGAAATCATAGGAATCATGCAATTTCCTATGATTTCTATATTATTTTAATTATAGTATGGGCTTTGTGCTAAGAAATATAAGGATGCAAGAACAAGGATTATAAGGATGTACTTGCAAGTTCCCACAAAACATTTGGAAAATCTTATTTAATCTCACGAGTATTTCTTACGAAAACTTAATTAAATAATTGAGGTAAATCAAACTTACATGTATTACGGTTATCACTTTTATAACTTGAATTGGAATTCCAATTGCTGTCATTATACCCAGATCCGGCTGCATATCGTGAACCACCTGATAAAACATCAGAACTCATACCAATGTACTTGTCCTTGTTCCGTTTAGCTTTTCTTCTTTCCTCTCTTAGTCTGTCATCATCCTGGATGAATTGTATCAAATCACTTACCTTAAATAAACAAAGAAAACATTTTTTTGCCATGGCAAATTATGAATCTTAAAGATAATTACCTTATGTCTAACATTAATGCCTTGATCCTTTCCATTTTCATCAGTGAATGTATAATTCTCTAACGTACGCAAATCATATATATGTTCTCTTGAAGATGTTACTACTCTTTCAGAACCATTTCGTACTAAATAATTTAAGAGCAATAAGGACTGAAAAAAAAATTTTGGCTTGTACCCTTAGTGCACCCTTTAAAATGTTTAAATATGTACATATATATAGATATATTACATACTTTATATGTTCGTCTCCAATTCGTTTTGTTGTCTTGTAACATTCTTTTCCATAGCATTGACATAACTTCAGGGAAATGTTCATAAGTGAATGTTGCATGGGCAATTTCTTGCATTAGGACTCCGGTTGGACCCCATGGATCATCATTTGTAGCTTCACGTACTTTACCTTCTATTTCGGTGTAATTCATTACAACGTTTGTTCTTAAAATATAAATATATGTACATTTATTAAGGGAGCATTTTTACATGTATTTAAAGGAATCCCTAACCCAATTTAGAATTGGGAAAGAACATTTTATTTATCCAAAAATGTAGTATAGATATAGCAACACGATACAAATGAAATGAAAAAACTTGAAATATTATGGAGAAATATAAATTGAAAATATTTCAAGGTTTTCCCTCTTTTTAGTATAACAATAATCAATGTCATTTTTATATCTGCTAGCTCTAAATTTCATGGAAGTTGAAATTTAAAAGTATTAAATGTAAGATATTATTTGGATAAAATTATAATCTCCTAATTAACAAAAAATAATTTTAATCTTAATCCAAGTTGAGCATGCTTGATTTTATAAATACAAATTAAGAGATGAAATTTTTTACGAGATATTTAAATTTTTTTAATTAAATCAGTAAATGATGGATTTGTATTTTGCTTAACTTTTTTTTTGGCAAAAGGTGAAATCATTTCCTTTTGAATTGATTTATGCATTCTACTTACACTTTATCAGCAAGCTCACGGACCTTCCACATACTAAAAAAATTATCAACCATTTTTACTTAATTTTTATTTTATATTATTAAAGAACAAGTTATAGATTTATCTCTTTCCTAAATTTTTTAAAAAACAAAAAATTAAAATCAAAATTTGTTCAACTCAAAATGCAAACTTTTTATGTGCTGATTTGGCTAGTGTCTATCATTTATTCATTTGATTGACAAAACTATTTAGGATGCGTTCAGGTTTTTTCAAATTATCAGTTTGTTGGGTTTACTGGGTTGCATGAAACATACGTATGAAGTATAACGTCTAATGCTGCCTTTTAACCACAGATAATTTGACGCTAGTAACAAATGCCAAAAGAATATTAAGGTCTGCAGATTGTCTTTTTACCTTGACGTAACAAAAATATCACTCTCTTTCCAAGCTGGGAACGCTTGGATACAATTGTATACATCTGTATACATTTTTGCTTTAAAATAATTTGGATACAAAGATTACTCAAATCTACTGAAACGTCGAAATTGGCTACATTTTAAAATTTTATTGAAATATGGATACATTTCTTACTAATATCTACATTTCTTACTTCTACTAATATTAAATCGCAAAACTGCTTTACTTTAAAAAAAATGTTATTTGCTGACTAAATAATATTTGTCTGTTTTCATGGTGAATCGTTTTTACCGCATAGTTCAACAGCAACCGAATATATATTTTCTGACCATAACTTTTAAAATGCAATAGAAATTGCATGTGACTTCTCAAAGAATTTACTATAAATAACGAAACTCAAATTGTTGAATGTAGCAAATTAATATTATTTATGAGTTTATTTGTATAAAATAAGACGACTTAGTATAATAACTCTACTTCAAGAGTCTGGATACATTTTTGATACATTTTTTTCTCGAAATTGGATACATTTTGTTTTTACCGGGTGGGAACACTGTTTCCAAGCCTGTATTTCTGTCAGCCGTGGTTGTTACCGTCAATTAGTTAAATTTTAATTTAACTTATTAAAATTTAACTAATTGGCTAATTAATTAAGTTAAATTTTAATTTAACTAATTAAAACTTTATTATTTAAGTTAAATGTCATTTAATTAGTTAAATAAATTAAATAAATTTAACTCGCACTTAAATTAAAATAACTTCAATTGAAATTCTTAGCGTTTATGTACTGTTTACCTCTAGCTCAAAATCTGTATTTAATCTGAGTTTGATGAAAGTTACATATGGCAAATAATATATTGCATTTCCATTTACATAGCCAAAACCGAACATAGCTTGCTCTATTCTCAATAGACTTACTGCCAGATTTTTTAATAGTAAAATAGCAATAATTAATTTTCTGTGTGAGTCTTGAATAGGAAATTAAATTCCAATTTTAAAGAAAAAATAAGCTTCGTGGTATTTAAAAAAAACGACGTGACAATTTGGTAATATCATGATGAGATAAAGGCAATTAAATGACAATTTTGTAATATCATGATGAGATAAACATAAACATTCATAAGTAATATTGAAGATTGCTGATGTGGAAATTGATTCTTTCTAACATTAAAAAGAACATGTATGAAATTATAATTTTTCACCGTTAAAGAAACTGTCAGTCCCTCCCAGTAACCAGGCCTGTACTGTTAGCCTCGGCAATAACGAATTGTAACGGTGAAGATTAATGTTTGCACGATGATGTTTGTATCAATGTTTTATGCATATCTTTCATTTCCCTTGCCAATACATTTTCTTCGAAGGAGAAAGAAGCGTTTGCCAACAATTTATGCAAAAGTCTTCGTGTAAACACGGGTAAACAAAATACAGTAGATCTGTGCAAGATAAGTAAGACAATAATTCATTATTTTTGCAATAATTATTATACCGCAAGCGTATAATGAATTTATAATGAATGTCGAAATTCATATAGAACACACACATATAAAAGACACTAGCGAGAAAAAAGCGAAATTACCGCCGCACATTTAATTTACGGAGGTAAAATAACTTAAAATTCGTTTTTTTTTAATTTGATTATAAATTATATGCAGAAAACTGAAGAATTGCCGCTCAAAATAAATCAAAACAAGGTCCTGTAATTGTAAAAATATAACGGCAACGACGAACGATTTCCATTGTTAACTTAGAACACGTGTGGAATGGCAACATCAACTGCTCAGTATAATGTATCAATCGCACGAAGTAATACAATCAGGCGTGTATTATTCTTGTGGTCGTAGACGTGATAATTTAAAGTGGTACCAAATCTGACATGATGTGCAGTTGTCAAAATCATTGCGTGCGGCTTTATATTTTCACGCGATCATCACGCCACGGTTTTCTAGATTGAATGTGTAAATAAAATGGAAAAATCGACGACGAATATTTATACTAAATATTTTAATATATTAATTCTTATATTGAAAATCGGGGTTTTTTTATTTTACCGAACAAAAAGAATAACAAATACGAGCAATTTAAGCTTCTAAAAAAATAATGCAAGACAATGATGTTTTAAAATACTTTATAAATTTAAACAAATTTAAGTTTTTTTTCTTAAATTAAATTTTTATATATATAGTAAATTCAAACATTCAAAACCATGTTTATTTTTGTGGAAATGGAAACAACCAAAATATTTTTCATATCATTCTCTACAGATACGACTACCCAAAAATTATATTTCAGGTGACGTAACGGTAAAATAGGAAAATTTTACATAGGCGTCTATTTACTGGCGCCTCTTCATATTTTATATTTTATATGAATTTTCACGCGATTGTGTTCTTGTCAATTTTTTGAAACTACTATTAAAAATCATAAGTACGTATAATGCCTTGCCGGAGAATTGTTTTATCTTATATTAAAAATTCTTGCAAATGCGTAAATAAAATTCTACGTAATAGGTCTGCATCAACATTGCATTTTCTTTCAAAATTTAGTGTAAACTACTTTTGTTGTGGGAGAATTTACTATTAAAATGACATCACTCTATGAGTATGAGATATAATGTCAAAAAATAACCTGACTAAATAAAAAGCATAAAATTTTATTCTTAGTAAATTGAATTATTTTGTTCTAAGTTCTTTTATTTAAATTTTCTATTGTTGGAATCTTCATAAAAATGTCGTCAAATAAGTCATCAGATGAACCTCAACAAATTGATTTAACAAAGCTAAATCTTCCACAATTGCAACAACTGAAAATGGAATTTGAATCGGTATTTATTTTTTTTAAATTTTCTAATGTGCGAAGTGTTAACTCTTTTCTTTTTTGTAGGAACTAAGTGTTTTTCAAGAGTCCCTTCAAACTCTTGTAAAATGTAAAGGGAAATATTCTGCTTCAAAAGAAGCTCTCGAGCAAATTAAACCAGATTGGGAGAATAAAGAAATATTAGTCCCCTTAACAGGGAGTATGTACATCCCAGGTGTTGTGAAGAGTATAGATAATTTTATAATTGAAATAGGAACGGGTTACTACATAGAGAAGGTAAATAACTTTAATTTTAAACTAAATTCATGCACTTTTATTGCATAAGCAGAGACATGTAAATGCTCAAAATTTTAGTCACATTTATTTTGCCTCATACTTCTTAAAAAATGTAATGACTTAACAAAAAAATTTGACCAAAAATATAAAAAAAAATGGTTAATAATACATGTTATTCAAAATTTTAAAAGCTAGCACCTACCCACCTTACCTATTTACGATTTTAATAAGCGATTTGTTTTGCTTTAATTTTTGCCCTCATTCATCATCATCTCACAATTTGTTAAAATAAAAAATCATTAAGGTACGACCTACATTTTACATGTGCTATACCTACATTTTATATCCCACATACTTACCAACATTAAAAAATACAACAGACAGCAAGCTTTTAGAAAAATTGTGAAAGTTATTCATAATATGTTTTCTCTATTTCAGGACTTGAGTGACTCAAAAGATTATTTCAAACGTAAAATAGATTATGTTCAGGAGCAAATTGAAAAAATTGATAAAATTCAAGTTCAAAAGTCTCGAGTTCTAGGAGCAGTGCAAGAGGTTATAGAGATTAAAGTCGTGGCAATGCAACAAGCAGCAATTAAACAAACTGCGTAAAGCTTCATAAAACAAAAAAATTGTTTTTGAATTAAATCATGAAAAACTCATCTATCTTATTATTTTTATTTATTTTTATTTAAAAAAGAAAGTTTATTCTACTGGTCTATTTAACCTTAAAGTACATTTTATATTTCTTTATCCTTGTAAAGTTGTTAGTAATTCACCGGATGACACAAGCTCTTTAACTATATCTAATCCTCCAATTAACTCTCCTTTTACATAAACTTGCGGATATGTTGGCCAATCTGAATAAATCTTGAGCCCTTGGCGCACATCTTCGTCTGATAAAATGTCGAATGTTTCAAAAGCAACCCTAAACAAGTGAAAATATGTTAATATCGAGTAAATAGTGTGATACATTATGCTATAAATGATGGCACCAAATCACAAAAGTTCAATAGAACAAATATACCAGTATGTACATATGTAATATTGTAACAAATATTTAAAAATGAGAATGTTTACAATTGAACGCTAATACGAGTAATTAAAATCTACTTTTGTATTCATTTTAGAATAACTTGCCCTGTGTCATTTAATATTGTCATAAGTTGCTTTGAAAATCCACATCGTGGAGCATCTTTTGCACCTTTCATAAATACCATCACTTTAGCTCTATTAATTAAATTTTTAAGACGATCTTCTAACGATTCTTTGCTTTCGCCAACCAAATTTTTGCATTTAACTATTAATGTATGTACGTCAAGTCCGTCAATTCTGTCAATTGTTTTTCCGTTTTGAAAGAAAAGTACAGTTGGAACTGCTTCAATCTAAATATAAATAGTTCAATTTAAATATTATTTTATATACTTAAATTATGATAAGGTTACCTGATTTTTTAAAGCTATATTAGAAAAGTCTTCTGCGACAATATTAACAAAATTTATTCCTTTGTGTTTGGTTGATAATTCACTAAAAACTTCAAGAATCTGATGACATTGCTCAGCCCAATCAGCCGAAAAAAGTATGCAGGAAGGTTTTATATCTCTAAAATTTTCTTAAATGAATAATTTTTTTTTAGTTTCACTACAGTTCCTTACTTTATAATATTATTGAATTCTTCTTCTTTCGAAATATTAATTATCGACATCCTAGAACCCTTTTTTTAATTTATGTATTAAATTTTATCCAAACTTTACTAAGTAAATAATATGATTTCAATCTAAAATGTGAATAAAATAATAATCTTCACTATAAAAGTGTATTGAATGCTCTATTCAATCAAATGGGTTATTTTATAATTTATGTTAATGACAATTAGAGATTAAATGCCAACTACCCTTAGGTCATGGCATAAACTCTGCAGCATGATGCATGAGCATGGCAATCGGCATATTATATAAAATTTAGTTGACGTATAACCATCAGACTTAATCTAATGAGCATTTACACATTAAATTAATTTTACATGTCAAACTTTTAAAATAATTTTTTTAAATTGGCGTATTGCTTTATAAATCTGACACCAAATCTGATGATAATAGAACAATTTTCTATTTTTTTTTCAGATTTCTTTTATTTAAACTATGATTGAAGTACAAAGAGCAATAGGAAAAGAAGTTAAAAAGCGTAAACATAACTCATCTTTCAAAAAAAATCTACATTATGTATTTAATGTAGGTGGAGGTTATGTTTTTTTTCTAATTTTGAATTTTACCAGTTTGTTAAGCGCATATTTTCTAGATGAAATAGGTACTATTTTTGAAATGTTAACGAACAAAAGTCTATTTAATTAATGAAATAAAATTACACACACAAATGTAACTGTTATAAAATGTTGTATGTATTCAAAAGAAAATGCTAATTATTTTTTAAGCAGAGTTATATAAACAAATACTTTTTTTCTCCTGGATAAATGTCTCTCCGATGACCTAATATTTTCAGACGTCAGTGGTATTTTGCAGAGCTTGTAAATTTTCAGATCATTTTTGATAGATTTTGAAGTACATACACACATACATCCATATCAACGTTATTTTATAGATTTGTTTAGCAATAAAAATGTTTTAAAATTTCTGATTATTTTTATATTTAAATATGTGATTTTGTTATATTTCAATTGTTATTAAAATAATCAATTTTCAATGTATCTGATAAAAAATACCTCAGTATATTTTTCTTAATTCATATTTTTAAAGTTTCGAGTGTTCAAAATATATAATTTTATTATTAGTTCACATTAAATGTTAAAGTCAACTTACTTTATTGAGTCATAGCAAAATGATGAACCATAAGATAACTGGAGAAGAAGTATCGCCTTTAACTTCAGTATTTGCTTGTTTGTCATTGGGAATATCGTGTGTTCTTAGTTTGTACATATGGAGCAGCGAGCATAATAGGTTGACTTAATTTTTTCATGTTATAAATTTTAACTAAAATTTTTTTCAGAGATCATCCGTCTATTGTTAAAAGACGATTTTTAAGCGTATTTTTTATTATGTTGATTTCGCCAACAATTATTTATATATTTAGTGCTAAAGAAGTTTTAGAGAATCATAATTTTGCAGAGCTACTAGGCCTCAAGGCAGATGGCTGTTTACTTGCGGCTTTAGTACCTATTGGTTTAACTGGTGTCTTGTTTTTGGGGCCACTTTGCGTACAAATTTTAAATTATCAAGGAACACCTAATTTTTTGAGTACGTACCTAACAGTTTTAATCCCTCATTTTGTGTATTGTTAAATTTTTTTATATTTAGGTGGAAAATATTGGAAAGAACACTTGAGAAATATTTTATGGTGGCGTAATCATGTTGTAGCCCCTTTAACAGAAGAATTCACATTTAGAGCTTGTATGTTACCACTAATGATGCAGTCCTTTAAGCCGATTAGCGCAACCATGATAACACCGTTATTTTTCGGAGTTGCACACTTTCATCATATTATAGAGAGATTACGGGAAGGCAAAGAATTAAAAAATGTTCTTTTGGTATCATGTATGTATCCAGTATAGATATGTAACTGTTTATAATTTGTAAATCATTCTTTTAACTAAAGGTTTTCAATTTGCCTATACTACAATATTTGGATTTTATTCATCGTACCTTTTTGGGAGGACTGGACATTTTTTAGCGCCTTTTGTAGCTCATGTTTTTTGTAATTATATGGGATTCCCAGATATTTTAGAGATCATAAAACAAAACGGCATGAAAAAAATACTTTACATCTGTCTTTATTTAATAGGTTTATTTAGTTGGATATATTTGATGCCAATGTTAACTAACCCTAATTGGTACAATAATAACTTGTACAATTGGGATAGATAATAAATTTTTTATTGTACAATTTTTTTCCTAAAATGTTATAACAATATCAATATTGACTAGGTGCTATTTATTCGAACCAATATTTTAGTAAGTACATACATACTAATCTTAAGTTTATCATTTCAATTTCATTTATAATTATCTAACATTGTTAATACATTAACTTTTAATAAGAGGTATTTTAAATAAAAAAACCAACTGTTTGAGTATCAATTTTAATAGCATTAACAAGAGGACTAAATAACAGCACCTAAATTACAAAATCATATTCAATGTAAATGTGACCAAACTATGGCCTCAAAAATCTTGTGTTAACCGGGAAAACAGTCTCTAACATATTTTTCAATTATTACCATTCTTTTTCTTTTTTTTACGAAAAAGTAAACTTGCAAAATATTTTTTTTTGTGCGATTGGTTACTTTCTACATTCGAAGATTTTTATCGGTCCTTATTTTGAATGTTAGAAAGTGCTCAAGAGTTTGTTAATGCTTTACTATTAATTTATTATTGCAACTATTAAAAATTATAGTTTTAATACGGTAATCAAATTAAAGCTTGATACGAGAAAAATATTGGCGTGGGTTGCGGATGGCAAAATAAAGTTTTCGTTTTATCTAGATCTTGCCATCCTGGGCTAATTGTCTTGTCACTAGTTCTTTGACATTCAAACCAGGGTTGCCAAACCATATGTAATAAACAATCCAAGCTGGGGAATTTTTAATACTACATATCGGGCAAAACTTCGGATAATTTTGGATTTTATGAAATTAAGTACAAAAATTATAAATTTTAGTTGGTGCTTATATCTATGAGAAAATCTGCGATTTAATTTGAGTCTGACGAAAGTCTTATATGTAAACCCTGTTTGACATCAGACTTTGTCTGACAGCAAATAATAGAAATTAGTTTTTTCTCATAAGAATTTTAAAGTATGTTTTCGTTTTTATAGGATGAATGTATTATGCTTTGAAAAGTGGACATGTACAATTTGTTGCGATCACAAATTTTGCTGGTAAAAATAAAAACCTATGTAGAACTAAACTGAAAAATAAATGTAATAGGAAGTTAAAATGCTATGTATATTTCTAATGTTAATCAGTTGTACTTTTTTTAATAATAAATTTTATTATTTAATAGAATGTATAATAAAATTTATAAATTTTAATTCTATGTATAATAATAAATTTCTAAAGGAAAATTTTATGGAAATAAAGGGAATCTTCGGATAAGGGTTGGTAAACCAGGTCAAAAAGACTTGGCAACACTCTACTGTTAAGGAAGATGTTGAAAAATTTATTAACTGCAATTGTCTATGAAAACAAAGCGCACGTGTTATTTTTGTAAAGTTATCGCTATTTAAAATGAAACGACTAAATGAAGAACGAACAAAAATTTTGTTTGAAAAACTGAATAAATAGTATGATGTTTTTTTTTAAATAATGTGCTTAATCCAAATTTACATAATTTCAGTATTGGCTCAAATGTTAAACAATTAATTGATCGCCCTGACGGGACATACTGCTTTAGAGAACACAGGGATCGAGTATACTATATGTCAGAAAAAATATTAAAGTTTTCAGAATGCCTTGGCCGAGATAAATTAATATCAGTGGGAACATGTTTTGGAAAATTTTCGAAATCAAACAAATTTAAGCTGCATATAACTGCATTGTATTATTTGGCTCCTTATGCACAACATAAGATTTGGGTCAAACCTTCATTTGAACAACAATTCCTTTATGGAAATCATATTCCTAAATCAGGTTTAGGAAGAATTACAGAAAATACCCAGCAATATCAAGGAGTAATAGTATATTCAATGAGTGATTTGCCTTTAGGATTTGGTGTGGCTGCGCGTTCAACGATGGATTGTAAAACTGTAGAACCCTTATCGACAGTTTGTTTTCACCAAGCAGATATCGGAGAATATATCAGATCAGAAGATATCCTTTTTTAATTATGTAAAATTAGATTAATTTTATTTTACCTTCTACTGTGTAAGATAATCTATACTTTATCGCCCCTTTTTTTATTAAAGAAGAAAAAAATGAAAAAAGGAGCCAATAGCTTTTTAAATTTTGTTCTTTTCTTTACATGTTCTTTCCTTCTAAACTTGACATTCAAAGTCTTATTTAGACTTAGATTTCGTTATGTTTTGGATTGATATTTTAGCACAATTCATATTCAATTGTGATGGGTTTACTAAATTTTTGTTTTTATCTGTAGTAAATGTATTTTTATGATACAGATTTATTTTTATTTATCTTTATTTTCCATGTATTTAGCCACGGTAATGGTGACTGGTATAAAGCACTATGGTATGGGGTCCAGAATACATTTAAAAAAAAAATTAATAAATAGGATATCAAGTTTATTTAACCGACTTTGTTACAACCTAAAAATTCTTTAGATATAAAAATAAAATAAAAAATTAAATACATGTATATTATAGTAGTTCAATGTGAAAATAAAAATTAAAATTAGTCAGTTATCTTGATAAAATATGAAATTTTCCAAAATTTTAAATTCATCAGAATCGTTCATCAAATCTCTTATGTAATCCGAAAATACTGTGCAAATCTTATAAAGACTACGCTTGATTGAGTTTTTTAAAGCTAAAAAATTCCGATCTACTTTTTTACCATTTAAATTTACATTATTTAATTTATCTAACTCCATTTTTAGTTTCAAAAGTGATTTAATAATTTTTGTTAGTTCATTTTGAACCACGCCATATTTGTCTTCAACCAACGAAGCGGCGCAAAGTCCTGCAAGACCCTGTGTGATCCAAACAATGTTTTGAGATTTTGACAACATGTAAGCTGTTTTAGCCCCATCAGGCTCTCCAAATAAATAAAACAAACCGGGTAACGATTTGAACGTAGCTTTCTTGATTTCTGCCCAGTTTTTATTTATCTCCGAAAAAATTTCTGTTACTGAACTTGATTTTTGTTCAATCTGAGATTGGCAATTCCCTGCTTGCATCATGCGACGAATGCCGTATGTCTCATTGTATTGACGCAGTAAAATTTTTTCAGCTGTTTCGGTAGCTAAAAATTACATTAAAACTTTTCGTCATTAATTTATTACAATGTTAATTTTTTACCTGTGGGTTTCAAGGGCTTATAAAATTCGTTGCATTTAACTGTTGAAATACTTTTGACAGAATCAGAAAGTTCCTCTGTATAACTATCAATCAAATTTAAACATTGAATACATAATTGTTTCCAATTGTAAGGATGTCCACCAGGAAATGATAATGTAAACAATTGTTGTCGCTTTGCAACGTTCTGCATATTTGTTAAATTATAAAGATCTAGGCTTGCTAATTGTTGTATTATTGGCACTTTAAATGAAGCTAAACCTTCAACTAAAGTAACTTCCGCCGAGTGACTCAATGGATCTTTTTCAATAGGAAACTTCGACGGTTGCGTTAGAAGAACGGAAAAAAGACCGTCTAATATGTACAAATTACTTAAGATTTGGGAAGATAATATCCAAACATAAAAGAATAATTTTGCATTTAGTGGAAAAGAGTTTGCCGATACTAATATTCTATCATCATTAGCGCCAAATAAATTCGCAATGTATAAATTAACATAACCACCAAACATCCAATATATGACACTGTAAAATACGGTGGGAACAAATGATTTTATAAGACATGTGTATAAAATTTTGTACAATGCACTTCTAACTTGAACATATCTTTTCTCGTTAATTACAGGAAATTTAATATCTGGATCCGTAGTTAGTTTTTCTTTGCAAAAATAATACAATCCAGAGTATATTCCACCCCACGTAATAAACATATATCTACTATTTAAGCAGTATCCATCAAAACAGTTAAATATAAATGTATTATATTCATCACTTAAGTATCGTGAGTATAACCATGAAGTTAAAAAGCCTAATGCAATGCAAATGACTATAAAAGCAATTTTTTTTGGGCCAACAGCACATAACCATGAAAATCTCGTAGGATGGTAGTTGTTTACGGCCAAATAAGAATTACTTGATAATATTACGTATGATATCACAATGCTTATTAGCGGGAGTGCATATATCCATGTGTAAAAAGAAAAAAATAAACCCAGCGTACTAGAAAGCCATGTAAAAGGATGAAAAGCGCTGAAGTTGACAAACAATAAAAATACAGCAAGCAGCAGAAACTGTATGGCACAACTAATAAATAACACATGAATACATCTCAACACACAAATTTTTTTACACTCTATTTCAGTTGAGGTAATCATTTTCGTTTTTCATCTATGTAGGACCAGCTATTTTCAATAGTTTAAAACTCGCGTTAATTTTCTTCACAGGAATAATTAAATTCTGTAAAAAAAAACCTTAGCTTTAAAACAAATTTATTTTATTTGGTTATAATACACAAACATTTATTTAAAATTTTACTTGCCTATAATAGCCAAATTATTTCAGTAATTTCTTTCAAGCTCTCTTTCAAAAGTTAAACTTCCGTTATTACTCAAATCTTTCCAAAAAATTTGAAGCATAATTGTTTATTTGTTTTAAAAAATGACATTTTCGTAATTTGTTTGACAAAATATTTATTTAAGTAGATTTGTTTACATGACGGCTTTTGCATAAGGCTGCCATTGTCGAGAATAGTTTCTAATTATCCCTGAGGTTAAAATTTCACGAAATAAAAAAAAAATAACCAAAATAAAGGCAGAAAATTTTTGGTTTATTAGCTTAAATTTAAAAAGAGGATTTTAAGTTCAGTAATAACCTAAAATTATTTTTTACCGCTGGCGATTAATCTACCTTGGGCAACTCTAAACTTCCACACTTTCTTACAAAAGAAATAAAAAAACACATCAAATAATTCATTTAATAACCCTCGAGGTTAATTTTGAAATAATTTAGAAAACTCAGTTGTCCTTTGACAACGACTAAAAATAATTTTTTTTTGCATATATATACAAAAAAATATATACATATTCATAGTTTTGTTAAAAACAAACATATACAATATCCGATGTTAGAACGAAAAATTATAGTATAATGGAAATAATGTTCTAATTATGTTCATAGAAAGCTTAAAGCAGTTGTAAGCTAAACATAATCAGGATACAAAGCTGTGTTTCAACATTTGACAGCTACTATTGCGCTTACTATATGGAAGTGGACGAAAACAAAGAGAGCACTTTAAAATTCAAGGCAACACTTTAAAATTATTTTGTTTTCTAATTTTGAATCTGCTGCCTGTTAAAACATAGGATACTTGACAACAGATTTTGAAGTGCGTCTTTGCATTGTAATTAGTGCTTGAATGTTAATGTGCATATTTGAGTTACGAAAAGGTTTTTGAAAAATTTTTTATTGCGATTTGTGATGAGCACTTATGTTAAGAACGAAAAAAGTATCAATAATAAGTATCAATGTCGGAATACGAGTAATACTATATGTCAAATAAATATCGCTAAATAGAAGCCGCTATATCGATGTTTCAATATAATTATTCCAACCCTAGTTGTGTGGATTTGACAAATAATAAGTATATTATTTTTGGGGTTGTTGAAATACTAAATTGTTATCTAGCCCGATAAAATCTAAGTTTTGTGGTGTAATATAAAATTTTCCAACATCTTAATTTTCACAAATTAATATAACATGAGTAAATTGGTAAGTGAATACAAACATTTACATTATTATGTAAGTTTTTAAACATCAGAATTTCGAAACTGCAATAAGATTTAATATCAATAACCTTATCGGGTTCTTTTTAATAACATACATGTATATACATATGCACAGTCATAAGTTAGGTTTTGCTGACTGTATTATGACAGAAATACATAATATATATTAGTGAATATACTTATATATGCAAGTCCCCTATGGCCTTATATTAAGCTGACCTCTTTGTTGATACCAATGTGCGTATCTTTTTTTTGCGGAAAACTCAGGCTTTAGGCACAAACATACAGCTGCATTTCATAGCGAACTGAAAATATGCGGATTGATTTTTATTTAATTTTATAAATGCAAATACACTGTAATAATGTATACTGTATAAATGCCAATTGCTGTATTGCAATTCTTATGTCAGGGTTTCATTTTAGATACACAGATACATATGTGTGTACATATATACTACGTAGTTTCCTTAACTTTTAATTTTAAAAATGTTCCTTAAGCTTGTGCAGGATGATGAAAAATATAGAGCTCTATCATGAATTTCATTCGTAGCTCGAAAATTCGGAAAATTACGAATATCATATTATCAATTACGGATTACTAAAATACTGCTCCGAACATTTGTAATGGAGCAATCATAAATTACGTTCGAAGTAAAAATTACCCTCAAAAGTCTACGAAAGAAATAATCACTTGTAACAAGCAATTTAAAAGAATAGTCCCTACATATTAAATCTTAAATTTTGATTTTTTTTATTTGAATTTGAGTTACTCTAACACAGCTACCATAAAAAGAAATGAATTCATATTGCCAAAAAATTTTTTTTCCATTTTTCAAAAATATTCAAAAACTAAGAAAATTGAAAAACTTTCATACAAAAGAATATTTCAAAAAATATTCATGAATATTCTAAAAAATATCCTTTTGTATGAAAGTTGTTTACTGAATATAAATAAATATTTTGATAGTTGAACTAAAAAACTGATTTTGACTTTCCGAAAAATGATACTGCCATTGGTGATTCATAATCTCTATCTCTACAAAAGGAATTTGTGATCATTCAAAAGTCTACGCCGTAGTTATGTTTATAATTTCTAAGATTCTACAAGTGAAATTCGTGATAGAGCTGGTAGTAGGTAGCTTTAAAGAGCTGCTTTTATTTCAAATCTTTCTCAAAACTAAGATTTGTTGATGTTATGCTACATCTATCGTTTAACTTCAATTATTATTAATTTGTTTAAGTTATTAACGTAATTTATTAACGTATACATACTTCTTTACAGTAACTAAAAATTTACTAATATGCAATTCAGTTTTAGAAAATCTATATTGCGCTATTATTATTAATTAATTAAAATTTATAAATTCTAAAAGATATCTATTAAAATATGAAGAAAGGAAATCCGTAAGTGTTCCTTACAGTTGTGTTTAATAATATGAAAATATTTAATTTATTGATATGGATGAGTGGTTAACTCAAAAAGTATATTAAATCCTGGAGTACTGGGCATGCTCCAGGATTTTACTTTAACTGGCAACTGAATATGAAAACAATATTTTCCATCCTATGAATTTCCAATTACAGAAATATACTTTTTCAACTTTACATGGTTATTTTGAAAAAAATGAGTTAAGAAGGTTCAATTATTTTCAAAACTTTAATATCAATTTAATTTATAAATCAGTGTTTTAGAAAACTTGGACGATTTTAGTTAAAATTTATTAAATTTTATTTTAAAAACCTTACAGCACAAAAAATCACTAGTTTATTTTTTCAAGTATACATTGTGTAATAATCATCTAAGCTCGTTGAGCTTTATGATCATGCTGCGTTTATCAGGCAAAAACCGATAAAATCGTCTTTGTTGATATTTACTTACTTTATATTCTGGGATTTTAACAAAATATTTTAAATGAAAGAGGCTCATACCTAATTAAATTTTTGTTATTTCATTTATTTTTTATTACTTATTTTTAGTAATTTAAATCCCATCCACATTTTAACAAAACAAAAAAAACATATACTTAACATAATCAAAAAACTAATTTTAATTTAAAAAAGTGCAAAAAAAAAAAAAATAAAATTGAATTAATTATACTCTGAAAATCTACATGTGCATAATTTTGTAAATTCTTTATTTGCAATATAAATTATTAATCACTTAGGTATTTGTTCTTGTTCGTTTAATTTTTTGAAAAATATTATGCTTGATAAAAAAAGTGCTTTACGAATATAGAAATAGCAACAACAGTTTTAATTTCTATTTTCTTTTAATAAGAAACTATTACAAATTATTTTAAATATAAATTAAAAAACAAACATTGATTGGAAAATTTATGAAAAGTTTAACAACAATTATTAAATAGGGTTTAAGATTTATTTGTATAACATCAAAAATTCTAAAAATACATAAATATATAACTGACAAAAAAGAATTGTTTGTTCGCTTTAAATGGTGTCTGCTAAAATATAGAGATATTTTGAATTCTTTTATCAGTTTTTTTTTTTTAACTTCATCTCAAAATATTTTGTTTTTTGTTAAAAAGTTTTGATAAAATATTTGAATATGTACTACAAAGAGAATATTATTATTTACTCTTAATATTATAAGTGATATTTATTGATTTTTTTTGACCTTGAATGTATTATTTTTATTTTACAAATGAAATTTTGGAATAGCAGGTGGGTAATTTGTATCATACATTTGACTTCTAATAAATGCAATTTTATCTTTTGGTTCTGGACGAAGTGTTGCTAAATCTATAATACAAAAAATTATAAGTTAATTAATAAAATTGAAAGCAAAATAAATTGATTAAATGTTTAAGTTTACCTTTATCATAGGCGTATTGCATAATTTGTTCTGCGATTTCTACAGAACAATTTGTAATTTCTGATAATGGCGGATATAAGCATCCTTTTTCTAATTGTTCATCTGAACATAATTTTGCTAGTCTCTGCAATAAAAATATTTTTTTTATATTTCACTTAAAATTAAATAAATTAGTAAAATAAATAAAAGGTTAATCAAAGCTACCTCGGCTGACATTAAGAAACATTCTTCTGGAATTCTCAGCATTCCAGCACAAATAACGCCCAAAGCAACGCCAGGGAAAATATATGCATTATTACCCTGTCCAGGTGTATAAACTTTTCCTTCGTATTCGAATGGATCAAAGGGTGAACCAGAGGCAAATATTGCGCTACCTTTACTCCAAGTGTATGCTTGTTCAGCAGTACATTCAGCTTTAATTGTTGGATTTGATAATGCAAAAATTACAGGTTTTTCATTCAATTCAGCCATCTTTTCAATAATTTCTTTGGTAAACGCTCCCCCAATCGCAGCAGCTCCAATCAAAATAGTTGGTTTTAAAATATTTACTGCATCAACTAGCGTGTCAATAGGTTCATGATCATGGGCAAAATGTAATTTGTGCTCATTAAGACCACCTTTTGGGCGATCTCTAACAATTAAACCTTTACTATCGACGAGCCAAACTCGTGTTTTAGCTTCTTCTTTTGAAAGACCTTCCATTATCATTGCTGATACACACAAGTTAGCAATACCTAATGCTGCTTCTCCAGCACCTTGGAATAAAATTAAATTGTCTTTAAGTTTCGTATTTGTTAATCTCAGTGATGCCAAAATTCCAGCTAGTGCAACTGATGCTGTTCCTTGAATATCATCATTAAAAGTACAATAATGGTCTCGATATTTTTCTAAAAATCTGAATGCTTTATCATTTGCAAAATCCTCAAATTGTATTAAACAATTTTGACCAAAACGTTTAACAACAGCTTCCATAAATTCATCTACAAAATCATCATACTCTTGTCCAACAATACGTCTCTCTCTTACCCCAATATATAATTCATCATCCAAAAATGATTGATTATTGGTACCAACATCTAACGTAATTGGTAAACATTGATGTGGTTTAATTCCCGCTAATGCTGTATATAGAGATAATTTTCCAATTGGTATACCCATACCATTTGCTCCAAGATCACCTAAGCCTAAAATTCGTTCGCCATCTGTTACGCAAATAGCACGAATATCAGTTTCTGGCCAGTTCTATATAGAAATTTGAAAAAATCACAAAGTTAAACGAATAATTTTTTCAATCTATTTTTAAAGTTACCCGCAATATATCGTAGATGTATCCTTTATCATATTTTGTTATGAACAGTCCTTTTGGGTTATATAACTGAACTAAACTGAATTTTTGACAAGCTAAACCAACTGTGGGTGTATAAACGATTGGCATTAAATTTGTAATATCAGAACTCAAAACTTTATAAAATAATCTTTCATTGCGTTCTGATAATCCATTTAAATACATGTATTTATCTAAATCATTTTCCAATCTTTTCAACAATAATAAACAATGTTTAACTTGCTCATCTTGATTTTTTACAACGTGCGGTAAAAGTCCTCTAATACTCAAAAGTTGTCTCTCTTCTGATGTAAACGCAAGACCCTGAAAATTTGGAAATTTTAATGTATTGTTAATTTTTTTTATTTTATCTTATTGTACATTCATACAAGTTTATTTGAAAAATTTAGATTAAAGTTCAAATATCATAATGAAAATTCCATTCGGTATAAAATCTTAAAAGAAAAAATGCTAATACATATAGTACCAAGAAAACAAATAAAAATGCAAAATAAATATTAAGATAAAAACAGATATATAACATTGAATTTTTAATTTTTCCTATTAATCCAGTTTGACGAGCCCCCGAAATAAAAAACAAAGCAAAGAAAAGAAAAAAGTCTTTTGTTTGTATCCATAAGAGCAACAGTGAATTTTTTATGTTCTTAAAATACTTTTGGAAAGGTTACGCATAAAAATATTATAGATGGAAATCTTTGCTTCAATATTTTTATTTTGTACAAAAATAAGTTGTCACTTCCTAATATTTTTTCTATAAAATTTTGTTAAATTATGTGTATAAAAAATTATATTTTTTGTATTAATTTTGTATTTTGTATTGGTAGGAACTTACTGTAGAGTTGTCTAAGCGGATTTAGAATATGTTGTCTAAGCTGAAAAAAACTCGACAAATTTACCTATTATTCAAGCGTTGTTAATTTAAAAATATTTATTTTCGATAATAGGAGTAAAATTTAATGTTGACCTTCAAGTATTGCTATTTAAACTAGAAAACGTTGGGCCAAACGTTGTATACGATCAAAATTATTTATAAAAAATAATAATTAATTTTGTAAACAAAGTTAATGCCTTTCTTATTAGCTGTCACTGTTTTACTGCACACGCTGATTTACAATATTAATATACTCGTACGAGTAAGCAAAACTCTTTTATACGCAAATGTAATTTTTTGCCTTTTTGTAACTTTGCTTTTTGAGGAGCAACGTCTTGTAACTTTGCTTTTTGAGGAGCAACGTCCTTTGACACTATGTGACAAAACTTCTTCATATAGAATGCAAAAATTTGAACGTTTAGTAGAATAATATACATTATAAGGAAATACTATGTTAGTATTACTGTAATTAATCACTAAAGTAAACGTTAAATAATCTAAGGGTGTGAAGTTAAAAAAAAGTGTAATTACAAGTACATACAGTTGAAAAATATCGGTTTACAATATAAATATGTGAGTATATAATTAAAGTACATGGAGAAAATATTGCTTATAAATATTTAAGCAGGTATAATTGAATTATTCAAACAATTTTTCACGAAATTTATTTATTAAAGGATTTGAAAATTAAACAAATTTTGTAAATAGACAAATTACATATTGTAGAATGATATTTTTTTGTGTACGTTAGGACCTCTTACTAAGTAAAATTTCACAAAATTTTTATTTGTTTTACGATCGATTACAAATTTTAATTAAAATTATCAATTTAAAAATAATTAAATTAGTTATAATTACTAATATTTTGTGGATTTTAATTCAAATTTAGAGAACCAAGTATGTTTTCTATGAAAAAAATAAATAAAAAAAAATGAGAATTTCAGATTTCTCTGAATAAATTTCAATTTATTTATTGAAATAATCAATTAATCAATTAATTTATTTAGATTTCAGAGAACGAAATCATTTTTATTTGTTTTTATTTTGTAAATATTTATTTTCTCATTGAAAAATATCTATATAAATTTGATTTTTAACTCTTGCGTGTATTTAATAATTTGCTCACATATTTAACAATACTATATAGATAACAACACAACGATAATGTTGTCAAGTAATAAACTTTGACAAGATAACTGCTATTAATAATTATAGAATATAGCGAAAATAATTCATCATTTATTACGCCTATATGTACATATATGTATATAAGTATAATAATATCAAATCAAATTATGATAAATAAAATGTAAATAATAAAAGAGACAAAATTTCAATAACAATTGAATAATGTAGTTCTTTCTAATTAGCATATCTATTATTTTATTTAGGAATGTTATTGAAATTTTAATAAAAAATTTTAAATTAAAATTTAAATATCATTTGTTTCGTTTATATACGTTACATTATTACAATTTACAACAAATAAAGGTATTCTTATTAAATTTTTGTTCTGTGTAAGACTGATTTGAAAAATATATAGAAAGCTAAGTAAACGGTTTGTAGAAAATTTTGATTAGAACTAAAATTTTAAGTATATAAAATGAATTTTAATTAGTGTAGTAAATTTGAATATAAACGGCAAAAATCTTCTCGAATTTGTGATTTTTTATTGGATTTGGATAAGTGAAAAAAATAATGAATACTTCCATTCTGATACAGAGAAATATCTAACATCAATCAATATAAATACTTTTGTATTTTGTAAACTTAACCTTTTTCTTTTCAGGAACACTTCAAAAGCTTAAAATTTTAATGGAATTTTATTTAAACCTTAAAATCTACTTTCATAAATGAAAATTAAGATTCTTTCTTGTTTATATATTTTGTATGATATTTACATACATATTGTATTTGAGAAGATATTGATTGGCTGAAAATCACTTAATTGAATTTGAAATTTTCTGATTACTATACAAAATTTTTTTTTGTTTTTTTTTTTATCCAATTGTTAAAATATTTATATTTTGTAAAATCAGCTGACAATGTAAAATATTTAAATATGCGTATATATATTATGTAGTTTCTATTTTTTAGAATTTGTTTTCTATATTATCACATAAACAAACAAATTTGTATTTTAATTTTATTATTAGAAATGGAAATTTCTTGAGTCATAAATGTTATCGAATTTGCAATTCAATTTTACTAAGGAATACAATTTTTAACAAAAAATAACAAAAAAAAACCACTAAAGCGATTATTGTTCTACTTTATGTTATTGAGCTCGAATAAAATGCATTCTATTAATATACATGTCTTGTGTCATTATACCATTTTAAAATATTAATATGTTATTTCCTATGTGGCTGATTATTGGCTTCAAAATAATAAAGCAAAATTGGTCGTTAAATAATTTCTGGCCAAATAATAAGATCCTAGGAATAATGGAATGATGATCACGGTTGAGTAATAGAAAATAGCAAAATAAATATTTGTTTCAGTAACAAGACAAAACACTCTTTACAACAAAAGATATAAAATATTTCTATTTTAAACTTTTCTTTCTTATAATTTTTAATTTATAAAACGAATAAAAGCAAACTTGGCTTTTTGAGTACTTTTAATGGTTTCGATCAAATTTTTAAATTAAATTTTTTCTGTTTCTTAAAATTTTAATGGGTTATTCAATTATATTATTTATGATCGAGTTTAAGGAGGTTGATTTAGATTTTCAATATTTCAATATTAGTCATTTTCATAAATTATTAAAATAATGCCAGTTGTATAGGCCGTAAAATGAAGAAAATATAAAAATATGAAAAAAACCAAGCCATTAAGTATTTTTTGTTTTAATACATTGTTTTTAAATTAAATTTTCTTCTAACCCACCTGACGCAATAATAATTTCGTATATCTACAATATTGATGAACTTTTAATAAATTCACAAAAAAAACAAATCTTAAAAAATCTATAAAAAATGAATACCAAAGAAAAAAATATGTAAATTACTCTTTGAAATTTAAGAAAAAAGTGTAAAATATGTTTAGCTATTAGAAGTTCGATCAAAGTCCAAAGTCTAAATTAATCATTTTTTAAAATTTTATTTGGAGTTTGAACCGAATTTATCATTCAATCGAATTTGACTTTATCGAATAATGGGATTGAACCATTACAAAATTTCCACTAATTGAATTCTTTCTTTTTCTTTCATTTGGTTCTATAATAAGCAATAGGGACTCTCATTTTTATAAATTTCAAATTGAAAGTAAAGAGTTCAAAGGCATATTTTGGTTTAAACAATTTATTTAAAAATTTGTGTTATGTTGTAAGCAAAAATTAAAAATGATGAAATTAAAAAACGTTTAAGAAAATATATTGAAAATAACAAACAAAAATTACTTTCCTAAACGAACTTACATTACAACTTGTATAAACGAATTCACTTAATATACCAGAATCTGTACTTGAAATTAATTGATTAAATTTTAATATGCAGTTTACTTTCTGATATAATTTTATTTAATTTTATAGCATGAAAAATAATTTATATTACTTATGAAATGATTAAAACTAGTAAATTTATGTTCGAAAGTGAGGTGTTATTTCATCAGACGATTGAATTTAATTATGTTCAAGTTCAATGGTTTTTAAAACATTAGGTAAAAGTTAAAATAAACTTGATAAAGATAAAACAAGTTTATTTTAACTTTGTAGTTAAAATTACATAGTTTAAATATAGAATTTAATCGTTATATAATAACCTGAATTTTGGAAAACTGACTTTAGCTTAAATTCGCTATTAGCTTTTTTTTCTTTTTTATTAGAAAATTATTAAAATAATGAAAATTACAAGATTTTTTGCTTCCAGGCATTTCAAAATAAAAAAACGGACATTTATAATGCATAAGATCTATCTATAAGTTAACATTGGAGAATTTTATGAATTTATGAACTTTTTATTAATGAAAATAAAATTATGTGAAACTCAAATAAAAATTCATAGTTTTGAAAAATAAAACATTATTGAAATAGAAATTAAAAAGTTATTAAGTATTTTCTTTTCTTTTTTAGGATTTATCAGATTTATATAATTCTTTGGAAAAAGAGAATAACAAGGATGATGAAATATATGAATTACCAGATTGGCTAAGTAGTGAATCAGAACATGGTTTTTCTATGGATATTCTAAGAGAATCTCCACCAAAACTTGCAGTTGAAGGAAAATTAAATGGGCGTCCGAGTGAAGAAAAAGAAATTGATGAAATCTGTAATGAACCTTCTAGTGGGGAAGCTAATGTAAATAATGAAAATTACGAATATTATGAATATAGCGGAAGCGATGAAGATAGTGAAAGTGATGAAAATAGCGAAAGTGATGAAGATAATGGAAATCAATATAATTTGAAAAATGAAAAGGATGGGAAAAGTGATGAAGAATTTAAAGGTTATAAATTTGCAGAACCTTATACTAATAGTTTATTGAATTCGATTGCTGCTGATACTGATCAATATAACAAAATTGATTTGCCTGAAAAATTAACCGAATCAAAAACCCTTTTTGAGTTACGGAAGGAAGTCATTTATGAAATGATTGCATCAGATATAGGTTCGAAGTGGCGAAAATTTGGTGGTGGCATTGAAATAAAGGAAGGTGAAATGGATAAGTTAGAGGAAGAGTTTCCGAATGAAATTAAAAAAAGAGTTTTGGAAATGTTTGAAAAATTGGAATACAAGGAGTTTTATGACTTACAAAGAGTTTATTATAAAATTGTTAAAAGTTTAGATGAAAACTGTAGACATTATGATTTAAGCAATAGAGTTCAATTGGCTTTAATTCAATAATAAACTTAATATTTTACTAACTAAATTAAATACATTAGCAAATAAAACTGAAATATTTTTTAAATATTAAAAATCAAAATTAAATATAAACCCAAACAACGATTAAAATATTGTGATGATAGTGTAAGAAGTTTTTTTAGCTTTTAATGTTACTAATATTAAAAAGCGCTTGAACTAAAAGTTTAAATAAAAAATTATTAAAAGATGACAAAAGAAATCTAAGTCTCTCTTAATATCCCTCCTATAGATAAAAAATAGGGATTGAATTATAATTGATTATTAGCTAATTTAGTTCTAATTACATATTTTAAAATAAAAAAAAAACAAATATTGATTTTGCAAACACAACAATCAGATTTCGACAACGAAAAAATTTGTAAGAAACTAACAATCAAAAATTAATTTAAAAATTTTACTTATTGGATATTGATATATGTATGTACATAATTAAAATTTTGAAATTAAATATGCATGTTGCATTACCAAATTAGGTCTTATTATGTCAAACTATGAAATTTAAACTATTTTTACTTGTTTCGTCTAGAATATCCTGTATTTGCTTTTTGTTAATATACTTATACACAATAGCTTTGAATTTTCATAAACAATGTGCAGTTAACAACTTTTAGTTAATTATTAAATTTTAAATGTAAATTTATAATAATTATTTTAAATTATGAAAGAAGTTATAGGATAATACTAAGAAATTGTCATTTTATTGAATGTTCAAATTTTGATACTGTGTTTTAATAAAATTTTTATTAAAAAAATTTTTTTGAATTAAAGTTTTTCTAACTTATTAAGTGCAAAGAAAAAAGATTTTCTGTAGAAATTTCCTAATTTTTTTAATTGAAATGATTTTAATTGAAAATTAAATTGCGATAATAACCTATAATATATATATATATTCAAATATATATATATAATTATTTTATATATTCAAATAATATATATATATATTTTTTAATTTTTATTAGTTACATCATCAAATGATGCATGACAACGAAAATCAACAGTTTACATTTTAAGATAGTTATTTTAGCTTGCAGCTAGAATAATTATTGGATAAACATATGTACCTTTAGTATAAACAAGTTTTATTTTGTAAATAAAAATAATTAAAAAAGAATATTTAGTAAAGACAAATTAAAAGCAAGATCTAAAATTATGTCAGACAGAAAATTAAGAGTAATAAAGTATGTGCGTGTGTGTAAAATTCAGAACCCAAGAAATTTGATTTTGTCTTAAAATATTAGAACTCGATTAGATTAGATTAAAGTATATTTTTTAAATAATTATTTGGTAATTAAAGTTAATTAAGAATGTTCATTATTATAAACGTTGGAACTATTGAAGAAACATGCTGTGTTGACTAACTTTAAATATATTATGAGTTTATTTTCTAAGTGACCATTAATAAATATTTATTTATTATATGCAAACATATTTTAGGGAATAATATTATTTTGGTCTTATTTTATTAATGTTAAAAATTCTAATTCGCATTTCAGAGATATTTCATTTATGTATATGTTTGAATAAAATAGTATTATAATAAAACTGATTTTAAAATAAATTTCTTATTTTTTAAAGAAAAATTTTATACATACAACTTATAGAACGAGCAACGAAGTAATTTTCTTATAGTTATTCTTTTTTAATATGATAATTCAAAATTATAAGTAGTGTACATGTCATTATTAAAATGTGTATAATGTAAATTATAAAATTGATAAGAAACTATAGACAATTTTTAACATTATAGCAACTTTATTAAGCTTATCTCGAATAAAAATACAATCAAAAAAAAATATCAGTCAACGACATGTTCATCACAAATTTATTGACAGAATTTGTACTATTCTTTCACCTGAATACTACATAGTTAATCTTTAATCTTTTGCTCTCTGAACTTTAGGTATGTAATATGTCATATTTAGAAATATAGTAAAATAAATATATGTACTTATAAAAATATATTTTGTTTCTGATAGACAAATTTATTTCATAGTGCTTTTACGTTCCTCCAAGTATTAGTGGATAGGGTGATGATAGTAATTAATTTTTCCATTACAATATGTATTTTCACTGGTACAATTAATCATTATGTAAACTATTGTATTGTATTATTTACTCTGAGAAAGAGTTAAAACAAAGAGCTTGTAGTAGGATTTTATTCTGTGATTTAGATATCAAAATCACATAAGTTATGTGAATAGTAATAGACTCCGGATAATACATATATATTTCTTAAATAAGAGTCTCTGTAAATTTTACTTCTAAAATTAACATTGTATTCATGAAAAAATCCCTGCATAATAAAAAATATAATGAAATTTATATACATTATGACACTTTTGAATGCTTCTCTATACTTATGTTATCACTAAACTAATACTGAAAATAAAAGCTTGATTTCAAGTAACAAATTCTCCAATAAAGCTATTGAATAAACTAAAAATATTCTTAATTTAATAACGATTCTAAACCACTTTATAAATAATACAATAGATCACAGCTATCTTTGGAAATATTACATTAAAAAATAACATGTTCCGGTTAAGACAAACAAGAAAAACCAGAATAGAAAAATTTACGAATTAAGGTAATTCGTAAGGTAAAGATTAAATTTCAAGTAAATGCGAAATATTTTCTTTTATTTTTAATTACATATATTTTAATTAAATAACATTTTCTTCTTCTATGAATCGGTTTTAAGCCAAAATAATTTTTCGGTTTTTAACAAAATAATTAATATTTACACATTAATTTAAATTAGAGATGTTTTTAATGGCTTAATTTTACTGATAACTGGAGTGTGACTGTCAATTAAAGAAAATTAAGGATTATCATTTATTAAATTATCAAAATTAAAAAAATTCTATACGTGTGCACATGGTTTTGTTCAAAAATAATACTTTTTTATAATTTTTTTGTTCAAAAAAAATGTGTCTTATAATAATTTTAAAATTTTATCGCTTTAGATTATATTTTGTATTAAAATTAATTCTTTACGTAGTTAACTCATTATTAATGTCTTTAAGAAAGAAGTTAAGAACTAGTTATTACTTCAATAATTTAAGTGAAAATTTAGAAATATAGTAAGCTGAGCAAAAAAAGAAAAATTTTTATTATAAGAATTACATAATTCCATAGAAAAATGTCGATATTTATATTTTATTTTTATTTTTATAATAAACAAAATATTGTAAATGAAACAATTTATTGTAAGTACGTGCGTATGTGTTCATTGTTATATCCGAAAACTTACAATAAAATTTAGAAAATGATCTAAGGTTAAGAATTTGTCTATGTTCACACATATACATACTATGTATGAACTCATGTTCGGCTATGTATGTACGAGTTTGTTAATTGTGCGTGTCTCTACATACTTTTTATTTGTATCTTCTATGCACGAAATTCTGAACAAAACATTTTGTGTTTTTTCAACTAAACATCATGATGTAATAAAAATAGTACGACATTGAACTTGATTTTAAAAAATGAGACGAAAAAATAATATGTAAAAATTATACAACAATAAAATAAAAAATGTTCCTCTGATGAGTTAAGCTCATAAAAAAGCTCACCTGCTTATTATTATCATACAATATTTTGCGAAAAACAGCTGATAGACAGGAGATTTTATTTTAATAAATCACATAATATACATGTGTATGTACATATTGAAAATGCGCTATCTAATCAGTTTTTCATATACTACATATGTATGTATTCTTATATTAATAAACTGACATATGTATAACATACGTATGTTATATATGTATGTACATATATATGAAAGAAAAGGAGTAATGAAATAAATTTATTGAATTAATTATTAAATAATAGTGTGCAATTATATTAAGTTTTTATTACGAACAACTTTGTTGTTATCGTAATAAATTCATAGATCTGAGCTCTCAATATTTCTTTTATTTGTAATACAAAAAGTATGTGTGTACATAGATATATTCTTGCCTTTTTTATTAATAGTAAAAAATAAATCGATTTTCCTCCATTCCGATTAAAAAAGCTATTCATTAAATAACAAAATTTGGCGGATATAAATCCATAAGAATTAAGTGTAATTATATGAAAAACCTTTTAAGACTTCTGGAATTGAAATGCTATTTTTTAAATGCTAAAAAAATGACCTTTAAACTTATATTGTTGTAAAATGAAAAAAATTTTGAAGAAGCAGATCTAAAGCATAGAATAATCGAATACGCGTACATATATATTATCAAGTACCTCCAGAGATTATTTGGTAATAATATTAATAAAACAGTACATTTCCTATGGGTAGAAAATATTTCTTTTGATGTATTCGATGTTGATGGTAATATTAATGTTGTATGTATATTTGTTTCACTGTTAATTTTTATTCATATTAAACTCACCTTGTTGTAGCGTTTTTTCATTAAACGATCTAATCCTGATAAATTTCCAGGAACATCCATATCACCATGTGTACCCCATAATCCTAAACGATTTCTTCCTTCTTCACTCATTTTTGTGGTAGGTATAGATTTTGTTGTAAAATGATTTTTTTTTAATTTTAGGCAGTTATTACAAAAATCCTGAATTAAATATTATTTTTTTAGAATATTTGTATTTAGTATTTTTATTTATCAAATGAAAAATTAACAAAATTAACTAAAAAAAAAATGTTACTACAATTTCTTATAATTTTTATTTTAGAAAATTTTGTTACTTTTTTGACCGAATTATTTCTTAGTAAAATATTAAAATAATTCATTTTATTTTACTACCTTTCCTACAATACTGTTTGACAATTCATTCGATACTGACGAATTTGATGTACTACAATGACAAATCATAAAGTTTTTTTCGCCACTAAAAACATCAGTAGTAGTTGTAGAAATTTTTTTTACATTTAAATCAATGCCACCAGTGCGCAATACATTTTTCATTGTGCTTTCACTACAGTCACCGTTACCATGTTGCTCTGTCGCTGTAGAATTTATCGTATTTCTGTCTGCCACAATAATTGTATGTGGCGAATGAAAATGACAACAGCAATTGCATACTTTATCGTTTGCTTTTTTGTTACAATTATAACATTGATTAAGAAAATGCCGGTTATTTGAATTAATACAATTGTTATCTATTACAGTTTGATTGCATACTGCTTTGTTACAATGATTCATTCCGCAATCACATTTTGCTAGATGATTTATGTTAGCTGAAATTAGCATTTGCCCACCGGGTGTTTCATTTTTACTAATAGCTATTGTTGGAGATTCACAATTGATTATTTTTGCCGATTCTTTGTTACTAGATACATTCGATAAATTTGTTGATGGATACAATGGTCCACTGAAATTAAATATTTACATATGTATATGCGATTACTAAAATTTAATAAAAATTTTTTAATTATAAATTTATCATTCTTTTCTTATTTTTCTTATTCAGACAATTAAAAATTGAAGAAAAAGAAACGTTTCGTTTGCATTTTCGCTATAAAACTGGGAATTAAAATTGGGAAATTTGATGGTTTACGTCCCCGAAAATTTGTAGATTTTATATTGGTAATGTAATCTTTAAATATTTTCTGATTAAATTTGTAAAACAATTATGTACATATTTTGTATTTAGAAATTGTTTTAATTTTAATTCTTAAAATATTATGTAATATCTCCAATATTAATATAATAAAATTTTTTTATTACTTATTTTGGTAAATAAAATTGAAAAAACACATTGTTAACTCGTTGTTCTTATAAAATGTAATCAAAGCAGACTGAACTTTTAAATTTTATAAGGCATATTAGACCTACAAAATGCAAGCTTTATATTCAACTCTACCTCATTAATATTTATGCAAAATTCTTAAATAAAATTTAATTTATTTTAAATTTAATAATTTGATTGATAGATAAGTAGGTGTGCTGATAAAACATGTATCCTCTTTAGTTATACGGACTTTATGTGCTGAGTTTTATATAATATTGTAAATGTTTTTTCAGTTTTTGACTTGCTGAAAATATTGAAGCTGCTTGTAACTGTTGACAAGCAAAGAGGAATATTTTACTTTTTATTAGGAAACATTTAGCAATGTAAACGAAATAGTATTTCAAATAATAATTATATTAGCACCATGGATAAGGTGCCAATTTAATTCGAAATTCCATTGATCTAAAAAATTTTGGTAGCTAGGACTTTCTAAAGTTTTTGTTTAAAAGTGTGGATGTGTCTACATTGTTAATTTGATTGCAAGGTATCATTTAACATTTTATTCACCTGATTGTAGATCTATTATTGTGGTCTATGTATTACAACACATTTTAAAATTACTGATGAAGAATATTATTTTTATTTGAAGTGTAGATGTAATAACGGAATTAAAGCTTTAATTATACGAACTAATCTAAATGCTAGGATTATTTACTACCAATTGTTATGGACTACCTATTACTCTTTTATGTATTGTGGTTAAACATAGTATGTACATATATATTATGCTCTATATTTATTCACATTCCATGCCCTTATTATTTGTATTTACGCGGGTTCACATGATTATTTGAATAAATACATTATAATTATAATAAAGATAGTGGAATGTGGATATATAGTTTTATTTTTAATTTTATTATATATGTATGTACGTGTGTACGTATTCATGCATTTTTTGAGTTCTTTTTCCTGGAATTTTTAATTAGATACATAATTATATATGCAGTTTGTGCAAAGTTCTTTATCATATTATTTCAGAATTAAAATACATACACACAATATGGTTACTTTTGAAAATTAAATAATAAATTAGATATTGCTGGTTTAATTTTCACTTATATTTCGTACAATATTTTGCTTTTTCTAGCACTCATAATAATTAAAAAATGATTTCTGTCCTGCATTACAACAATGAGTAAATATGAATTTCATATTTCTTCAAATTGTTGAATATACATATTGAAAAAAAATATATAAAAACCACAGCGCAATCAACTAATACAGAGCAGCATTCGCATAGCGACATAATGTCTGAGTATACAATTATTTTAAATTAAAGGGGAAAACAAAAATACAAAACAGCTTTTTTTTTTAAATTTTTTTTAACAAAAAACAGCTGAGAAATTAGTAAGAGGGAAATCTCTAAAAAGTTTTTTTTTGATTTTTTTTTTGCAAATCATTTATACGAGTAATACATAATAATTATGTACGTTTATAATCTATATGTATACAATTTAAGTAATACAGTGGGTATAATTAATAACGAAATCTGCGCAACTAATTACGTCATAATTTTGTAAATGCAATTATGTATATAAAAAGGTGTAAAAATACACGTTTATTTTTTATTTTATATTAAATAATCAAAATCACGCCACTAGGCACTTTTGTATTTAATATGAGATTGGTAGTGCGGCGTTTTATGTACGTAGAATGTAGATGTGTAATTATGTTATTTGAATAACATACATATGTATAGACCAAAAGCATATCTGCATAGTTTTATTTGAATTTGGTAAACTGTATAAGAAACATATGCATAAGTATGTACATACACATGCTATGTATAAATATACTAGCTAGGGCAAAGATGGTTGCATATTATTTGATGATTAGATACGTAAATTATGGTATATTTTTTTAGCATGGCATTGTAACTTAGATATCGTAATATAGTATGATAAGAGTATTTTTATGAATTAAAAAAAATTCAGTACATATATGTTTAATTATAATTATGTCAAATTTTATTCAACACATATGTATATGTATTTAATTTTGTTTCGTGACTATAAGGATTACAACAGTCCATACTCCACATCGCATATTTTGATATACCAATTATATCTATATTATAAATGGAATTATACTTCCAATTTACCTCCACTTTATCCTATAAGATATGTATATTTTTACCGACCGTATTGTGTAAACAATAGGTAGGTTATGTGATGGCAACAAATTTTGCATATCGAGTTTTCGGTGGGAACGTACTTCTCCATAGTAGGGAAGTGTAAATAAACTATTTTTAGCAACCTGTCGATCTGTGTGTGCACGCATGTATCTCAAGTTCGGCTGAACCGATTTTGATGAAATTTTATATGTAAGTATATTTCCACCATGGGACGGATTGATCAACTTTTGGTATATATCGGGCCTCGGGAACTGCACTTTTTAGCGGGCCTGTTTTACATTTTTGAACATTTTGAAGAAAATATTCAACCGATTTACTTGAAATTTTATATATAAGCTCAGCTCGACCGTCCGCGAAAATTCCTATGTTTTGGAAGAAATCAGGCATCGGCAACTAGACATTTACTACGGGTCAAACACACAATTTTGTGTATATAAAGAGAAATAATCAACCGATTTCATTGAAATTTAATATATGAATTCCTCATATTAAAGCAATGAAAATATAAATTTTTTGGAAAGATCAGATCTCGAAAACTGATTTGCGGGCCGATTTTACATTTTTCACCATTTTGAAGGAAATATTCAACCAATTTACTTGAAATTTCATATATGAGCTTTGCTCGACCGTCCCTGAAAGTTCCTAGCTTTTGGAACAAATCAGGCATCAGCAACTGGACGTTTACTACGGGCCAAATATACATTTTTGTGTATATAAAGAGAAATAATCAACCGATTTCATTGAAATTTAATATTTGAATTCCTCGTATTAAAGCAATGAACATATAAATTTTTTTACATTTTTCACCATTTTGAAGAAAATATTGAACCGATTTACTTGAAATTTCATATATGAGCTTTGCTCGACCGTCCCTGAAAATTCCTATGTTTTGAAAGAAATCAGGCATCGGAAACTGGACGTTTACTATGGGCCAAATACTCGTATACATTTTTGTGTATATAAAGAGAAATAATTAACCGATTTCATTGAAATTTAATATATGAATTCCTCGTATTAAAACAATGAACATGTAAATTTTTTGGAAAGATCAAGGCTCGAAAACTGATCTGCGGGCCGATTTTACATTTTTCACCATATCTACGGAACGAATTGATGGAATTTTTTGAAATTTGATATTTGAGTTCTGGTTGTTACAGAAACTAACTGGCGAGCATTTTAGGTAATTCGGGTAGCACAAAGCGAAACTCTACTAAGAGCCAAATTTACATTTTTCTAGGTATGTTAACTATAAGCTTACTAATGTCCTAAAAATTGGAAAGAAGTATTTAACAGACATTTTTATAATATTCTGTAACACTTTCATTTAACTAGATAATACACAATGTGGTCGGCTATGTGCTGACCAAATCAGATTTTTTTATATTTGGGGCTTTCATAAACATAGTATCGCGATATGAATAAACAAAATGTTCCGAGTCAAATTTGTGAGCCTAACTAGCTCTGACTTATCAACAATATTATAGTGAAAAAGTTATGAGTAGTTAAATCATCTTTTGTTTCTAAACAATTGTCACAAACGCATTGCATTTATGAAAACCTGCATTATTTTTTGGCATAGATTTTTGTTTAAAATTTTAATGTATGTACATATTTGCTTTACTTTCTTTTTCAGGTTAAATTGACAGTATTGAGCTTAAATAAGAGTATTATAATATTCAATGCACTTTAACTGCAATTAAACAAGAATAATTATATTTGCGAATTATGTAATCATGTTGCATAGTGTAGAAGCATGTAAAATTCAATAATAAATTCATTATTCAATATTGAATTTATTATTAAATTCATAATATTCAAACATACGTTAAGGCTATCGCAGGTAAGTATTGCATTTAACTATCTATGTACGTATGTAAAAATACAAGATAAAGTATAATAAGTATATTTTAATTATTATAATTTGTATAGATGCAGGCGCGGGTCTGATATATTCGTCGCCCTAAGCGGTTCCTAAAAAGTGCGCCCCCTTTCCAGTTATGTTCCCTCCAAGTTATGATCAGATTTATATAAATCATTTAAACTTGATTTTTTGATTTTAACAACCAAAAAATTTACTTTTTGTCGTAAGTGTAACTTATTGTAAAAGGTTTTAAGAAAATTATATCAAATATAATATATTATATCTTTTTCAAAGGTTATTTGAATATGAAAAAAGTAAAAATTTATTTACTTACATACATATATACTTAAATGATTGTATATAGCGAAATTTTATTCGTAATATTAAATTTAAGAATAAAATTATGCCTAATTTCATTTTACTTTTATTGTTTGGATGATTTACACAAGATCAATTCAACATAAAATTCTTAACATTCGCTTGATGTTTTCAATTCAATATAAGTAGAAGATATTACCAATTTATATTTAATTCTATGATTGATAACAGTTTTTTCAAAAACGAAAGCAAAACATAGTAGTA